TCCTGCCCATTAAACTGCAATTGCCTTTTTTCTTGCATTTGTACAGATCGAGAAAGATTGATATAACTATGGTGTTTGACGATTCGTTCCTATATTTAATTGAAGATGGGTAGCTGAAATTTTGGTGTATTATCACATGGCTGAGTTTCGTAGTTGAGTTTTGTAGCTCTGGCAAGGCCTTCTCGACCTTCATCAGCATTAAGGCATTCTTACAGATGCGGACTTCGCCCTGAAATCACAATTTTGCACAGCTTTGTTGCTTGTGTATTGAATATAATGTTTTTCAGCATGGGACGAACATATTTCGAAAGGTGTTAGCCTTACAGCACTTGGCAACGGCACAAGCTATGGTTGGTTTTTCTTCCTTGATATTGAAATTGAGGAGTGCTCTTTGCAGAAGTTTTCTACCAGAATAAGTGGTAGTTTGAAATTTAAGTTGTGTTATTTTGGAGGAAAAAAGAAGTGAAAACATGAACGCTGCATAAATTATGGCGAAGCAGCCACCAGTCCATGGAACAACCGTTCGCCAGAGTTGCGAGTAGCCCCCACGCGGTTGAATTTTTCTAGTCGCCTGCGGTGAACTGCCATGAGAATTTGTAAACGAGGGCTTAAAAATGAACTCAGAGCCGCGGATCTGAAGCTTGTGCAGATATTTTTACAAGTGTTTTTTTTTATGTGAACTGATCAGCTGATTCATGACTAAATGCTTTTGTTTAGATTCCACCTGTCCGACCGGCTATTGGGTACCGCCGATATTGATGACTGCTTTCTTGCTGATTGCGAACATTTTACTGATGAGCATGCTTCTTGCCATCTTCAAGTTCGTTTTCCATTCTTTGTGACTTGATATTTTCAGATTCTCAGGATCAGAATCGAGGGCCTGAAAAGGAGGGGGAGGGGAGGGGATGGGGAGGTATCCCAGTAATTCCCCCATTTTCACAAACTGTGAGAGGCATAAACAGTGGGAAGTAACTCGAGGGGTAGCACCGATCAGCAGCAATCACCCGCTGATAAGGCTATCGCGATGAATCTGCTTTTCGGAACTTGATTAGAAACAAACTGGTGATAGCAACTGGTGTTTATATGCAAAAAAAACAGTATCTTTTTAATATCCTGTATAGTAACAATAGGGTATTTCAGTAACATTTTCGAGAACACGGATCGTGTTTCCAAAGAAATTTGGCTCTTCCAACGATATCGACAAGTGATGGAATACGAAAGCACGCCGTTCCTTCCTCCTCCGCTGACACCTCTCTATCATCTCTGGATGATTTTCAAGTATATTCGAATTAAAAAGTAATGTAGTTTTCGTTCACATTAAGTTTGATGTGTATTAAAGCATTTTTGTATCAGAGGAATCGTTCGTTCTTACAGTACCTGTGCGATTTCTTGAAGGAACCAAAGATAAATGTTTGGTTTCTCTATTTTTGATGTTTTTTCAAAATTAAAGGTAATTGGGAGAACTTTCAGGAAGTGTTCGATAAACTCAAGGCTAAAGCCGAAAACGAATTCAAAATTGTTCGATTTCGCTTTGAGTAAGTAATTCTGCAAATCATATCTTACACATTATGCTATGTGATTATTTTAACGCTGTTCATATGATTAATTAGTGTCCATAATTATGTAATTTTTCTACGGCCTGTTTGCAAAAACGCGCCTTTTTTGAATAATTTTTAATTTAATCAGCTTTTTTTTTGCCTTCTTGTTCAGCTAATACAACATTTAAGTTCCTCGAGGATAATTTGTGTGATATCCAGAACCTACCAATGCCTTTTCTGTGTTACGCTTTGGATATTGCAGAGTTGTTTTTGAATGCTGATGAGGTGGAGAAAATCCATGATTTCGAGGAAGAATGTATGGAAGATTTGGCCCGTGAAAAAGAATACAAAAAGAACACATCAACGGAGGAGAGGATACATCGTACTGCTGAAAGGTCGCCCATTTTGTGTTCTTTGCCCTATTTCTTCGTGTGATGGCTCGGGGAAATTTGTTTTTTAGTTTCTGCTTATTTCAAATTTTTCCGTTGCTTAAAAAATGAAAGAACTGCGCGACAGGTAGTATTTTTGCATTTTCCCCGCAAGTTAAACCCTGTGTATTTGTACTGAAAACGTGGCACAGTGCAAGGTGGATGCCTTTGTGCGAAAGTCACCATTAGCTTGCGTCTAAGTAACTCTGGAAAAGAAAACACCACTAATAGCTTTACTTGTAAGGGGTTGCCGTTGTTATGCGTTGCCACTGTGGTTACTCCGCCTTTCTGACGACGAATACGAGGGCCGTTTTGTCTTTTTGACTGAGGAGGCCGTGGCAGTGCAGTGTTGTAGTCAAGGGATTTAATGTTTCTGACAGATGTTTTAAATTCGGTTGATTTGATAAGATGCGCGGATGCGAAGGCGGATGAAAACTCCCCCCACTTGTGTCAACGGGCAAAAAAGAATATAGTGACATTTATATTAATTCGAGAGTTGATGAGCTTGGCTTATTTTGATACTTCATTTCAGAACCGATCTTGTCCTTTTGCGGTTAAATGATCTCGCAAGCAAAGATTCTGCCCTGAAATCTTTGGCGCGTGATTTCGACCGACGATTGGAGGTGTTGGAAAATCGACAGGTAACGCTTTTCATCCTTCTAATAGTTGGAATTTCTTATATTCCTGCATGCTATGCAGTTTGCACATTTTAAACGACTTATATTGGTTGTTCAAAAAAATTTTTCAACTTTGGCAGTATTTTGGTCCTAGCCGTTGTGTAAGTTTCTTCCGTAAAAAAGCATAAATTTCTTCCGTATTTTGCTTATGCGTATTTTTGAATTATGTCGAGAATGTATGAGGAATTTTTGTGATTACAGCGAGAAACGCTTGATTATGTACGGCAGCTAGCGAGTACCCTCGGTAAAGTATCACCAAGCAGCAGTGGCTACGGTTTTTCCCCAGTGCCTCAGTCTGTTGGATCGGCTGATGATCGTACTCAAGCAAGTCCTTCAAGTGCTCTGGGTGGTACTGATACGGCACAGCTGCAAAGGCCCGGCTTTCTTCCTCGCCCCGATCCTGTAAGTTTTGCAGTAATATTTTCTAATAAATGAGGTAAAAGACTCATAAGCAAGCGGTCAGGTGTCTTGCTAGATTGTAATGTTGTGTTCGAAGCTCCGTTATCTGTTTTGTCAGTCTGGTGCTGCTGATGCTCTTATCCCTTTCTTCGCTTTTTTCGCTTTGCTTGCGTTTTTCAAAACTAAGACGCTCAGTATAATAAATTCGAGCCATAAAATTTACTTTCCTTCGGTTTATCCATTAGTAGTTTTTTTTAACGTTTCTTCATAACTAGCATCATCAGCTAGAAGAGTTATCCTCAAGGCTTATCGTTGAGAGAGTGTAGATGAAGCATGGGGCAGTTATTCATTAGGAGGCAATTATTTGGTTCTAACTCATCCTGCCTACTCGGGAACTTGGATAACCCGCAAATTGTAGGCTGTCTAGTTCTGTATTTCTGCAGCTGGCAGCTTTTCCGTTTACATGGATAGTGCTGCATAGTTTGATGGTCAGCGCGCCGGTGATTTTGTCGTCCGTTCCCCTTATGAATAGTTTGACAGCTCAACGGTTTTCAACAGAAATACTTAGAAGAGATTTAACCACTTTGTCCTTGATTTGTGGTATCTTTATTATTGTATGTATGTATGTATGTATGTATGTATGTATGTATGTATGTATGTATGTATGTATGTACGGTATGTATGTATGTATGTATGTATGTATGTATGTATGTATGTATGTATGTATGTATGTATGTGTATATGTATGTATGTATTTATGTTTGTATGTATGTATGGTGCACAACATACATACATACATATGCAATACATACATATGTGTGTATATGTATGTGTGTATGTATTTATGTACGTATTTATGTATATGTGTGTATGTATGTATGTATGTATGTATGTATGTATGTATGTATGTATGTATGTATGTATGTACGTATGTATGTATATATGTACGTATGTCTGTGTATATGTATGTATTGCATATGTATGTATGTATGTTGTGCACCAGTACCTCGCTTGAACGTCGCCTTTCCTAATTCCAAATGATCCAAATGGGATTAACGACTCGGAGTTGACTCACAGTATGAATTAAAAACATTTTCTCTTTTTAGTGAGAAATTCTGTTTCATTCAGAAAACGGTTCAAAGAAATTCTGTTGTTTCAGCTAGAAGCTGCTGCTTCATTGGGCAAGTATTATCTGAGCCCAACTAAGGGCGAGAAGGACTTTTCATTTGCTGGCCGAGGTATTTCTTTTTGTGCGTCTTAAATTTTCTAACTTCAAAGAGAAGATATGATTCTCCCTAATTCTCCCTACAGTTTAATACCGATTTTGTGGGGTTATAATGTAACGGTAATATTTCATTTACACACCATAATCTTGACGAAGATTGTGCCTTTTCGCCAAATATATTCTATTTTGGTTAACTTGAAGCAAAGTAGCTCTAGTATTTGAAAGGTGGAAGGATAACCTGAATGCCATTTTCAGCTAAGATAATGAACACTACAGACCACCTTACGAGCGGAGTTTCTAAAAATTTCGACATCTGTATTGTAGATCAGCTCGTTTTTTTTAAAAATTTCAGTATTTTTTACGGTACGTCTGGGGCGGCAAGCAATTTAGAACAAAAAGGGGGATAAGATATTGGTAAAAAACCTCGGCAATCGGTTGAAAGAAACATCTGCATAAGTTTTGCAGCTCGTCCGATAAAGAGGCGTACGCGTACTACTACCGTAACCGGTTGTGTCGAAATCCATCCTGAACCGCAAACGAGCCCAGAAAAGTAAGTTTTTAAAATTTTCAAACTTAGCGTTATCCTCATCAGAGGAAATGCTGCATTTTTCCATAGCGAATGTTAAATGGTAAATTTATTGTCATAATTTTTACTCAGTGAGAAGACTTTTTGCTTGCAGAAGTTCCTCGAACCGGTTTGGCAGCTTATTATCTTTGGATCCAGCAATATTAAACCGTGGAAGTGACAGCAATATTTTAAAGAAGAAAAGTCCATGGTAAATCCATTTTCATCTATCTGATATAGTTTAATAGAAGGCGCTAAGTTTTTTTTGGCTCTCTTGAAAGTAATGGATTTTTTGAATTTGCTTTTTGGAAAATGCTTAACGTTTCAGTGATAGCTTCTTGTTGCTTAGAGGCGGGCTCATTTTTCCTTTTTGAACTATTTGCAACTGTAACGGCCAGAAATATAGTGCATTGTTAAAGCCGCATTTTCAGCATAACGGAAAGTGTAAGACGCGCAAGAAGGCACGAAGAGTACACGTCCATAACAGATGCAATCGACCTCTCGCACCATGACACGGTCTGCATCACTTTTTATTATTCTGCGTAGCGCGCGGTAACTTTTAGCCGAAGCAGCATTTATGCGGAAATTGTAATAAAATTGTCTTTTT